AATGGAGGGAGTGGGGTGGGGGGTGGGCTTTGCTCAGCAGCACTGCCATAGTGAAGCAAAAGTCCTCCAGCATACTCGCCTGTTTCTTCTTTCTCTGAACAGATGTGCACTTACTTTTTACCCTCTCAGGAACTTCTTTGCACTAGCATGGAGAAAGAGGTGTCCTGTCGCCTTTTGTTTATCTGCCACATTTCTCCTAGACCCCACTGAATGTCCCCCTCTGTTGCAAGGTTTACCCTGTAGCACACACCTCTATTATAGGATCTGTCATATTCCATTGCAGCTATTTCCATGCCTATCTCCCGCTCCCCACAGCCACCACGGCAGTAGGTCTTAGAGCAGTAGGGGCCCTGCAGCATGCACACTACCCAGGCCCCTGTACGGTGTCTGGCATGTGGCAAGACACTCAAAATGCTTCAGGGGTGAAGGTAGGCTACATGGCTTAGTGGGAAACAACCTTACTCAAGTGAGAAGACTTGTTGGGTTTTAGCCTTGATGCTTACTATTTCTATGACCTTGAAGAGTCATTGAACTCGTTTTCTCTCCTCCATGACATGAGTTACCAACTATGTGACTCACCTGTACATAGGGCTTACACTCAGCTGATACAGCTATGTCAGTTCTTAAAATATTCAAATACTTCCATACAGCTGGTAAGTAGTCACTTCAGCCCCCTGTGGGCCACTCTAACCATTTTTACTGCTCTCTTGGAACCCCAGATCTCCCCTGGATAACCATAGGGTGAATGTTCCTTGAGAGCCCTCCAGAACCCTGGCTTGGCACTAAGGCTGGCATCTCTTCTGATTAGTCAGTGCCTCCCATTCTACCTACTGATAAATGTAAATACCACCCCTGACTCTTCCATAGGGTTGGGAGGCCACCAAGTGATACAGTCCTCATGTAAACGCTGTAAACTGTTGTGTACATATACATCCTGTCCATAATTCCCCAGAAGGAACAGGGCCACAAAGAGGGAAGGGGCCTGTCTCTTAGTTGTAGCTCACCCTCTTTAGTTGAAGGCTGAGAAAAGACTTGGTGGGGAGGGCTTGAAACGCTCATGAGCTACTGAAAAAAGCTCACAGGAAAGTTCGGCTGGACCTCAGGATGGCAAAAGGGAGCATTTCTCAGAAAACATCCTTAAAAATGACTTGTCTGAATTCCTCACCGCAGCAGGCTAGGATTCAATTTGCAGCTCTTTTAAGCGTACGCACCGTCAGCTCTGCTCTCCCAGCCGGGCCCTATTGCTCACAATTAGAAGCCCATTTTTCTCTGCTCTCTTTGTTGCAGGTGTCCCCCTCGGTAGGACAAGAGCAGCCTGGACGCGGAGGGCCGGGGGAGGAGAGTGGGCTCGCTGGAACAAGGGTTCACACGGTCTGGTATTTATGGAAAACTGGATGTGCTAATGAACCTGAAATCCATCAGGGCTTTCTGAAGGCAAGCCAGTCTCTGTCAACAGACCAATTAGCACACAATTATTCTCCTTTTCTGAAAGCTTATCTGAGGTACTTCTCAAACGTGTGCACCTGAGTGAACGGCGCTTTCCATCACCTCCATCGGCCTTCTGTATAGTCTGCTGAAGCTGGTTGCCTCTTCCACAGAGAACAGTGCGTGGTTCTCCTAACCAAGCCTGCAGACTCTGGGGCTTCCATCACTCTGGGGCAGGGGTGTGGGGGGTGCTGGGGGACGTGTCTCAGTCCATCCTACTTACTCAAGTCTGTGGTCACACAGTATCTGCAAGAAGACCCTGGCCAGCCCCCTCTCTTCTTTCTACCTCGTTTCTTCTCTGGTGGGGGAGAGAGGGTCTCAGAGCAGAACAGCTATGAAAAGAGCTATAAATGTGGGATCTGGTGAAGCCTGAGTGGGCCTTCCTTGCTCGTGGAGATCTGGCTTTGGATCCGTGCCTCTAACAGGAAATGAGCTTGAGGATCACGGTCTTTTCTCTCCCTTATCCCCATCCTTGTGCCACAGTAAACAAAGTGAAGCTACTCCCACCCTTTCAATGATTTACCTAATCGATTGTCCTCTTGTCGAACCGACCTTTGGAAATAGCAGAGTATAAGTTGGAAAATAGCATCAGAGGCAGCCCCAGAATGATGAACAAGTTGGCGGTTGTGGGGAAGCAGATAGGAGTGGGCATAAGGGAGACGACAGGAAAGCTCCTAATGTGGCTCTTCTCTGACCTGTCCTCCTCTCGGGTCATGTCCTCCTCCTCCATAAGGCGTGTTAGCTCCCTCCCTGCCTGGACCTGGTTGGTAAGTGACCAACTCAGGGGTAGGTGGGAGAAAAAGCCAATGCACAACTCAGCTGCAGTGGGGTGGCCAGCTTACCTGGAGGCAGAGGCAGGCGAGTCTTGCAATACTACACACCTCATCCCGCCTCTGCTCTTAAGCCCACCCCATTCTGAGAGGGGCAGGCTTCCCCAGAGTCCCTGGGCCAGTTCTCGGCCATCACTCTTCTTATAGGGATTTTTACACCGTATAGAAAAAAAGACTTTACCTTGAAATTAGGCTGACTCTGCCTCCCCAGTCCAGTCCGTCAGTTAGCTAATCATCTACTCACTCAATAAAGAAACATCGTTTGGCATGTAGTGTTCACATGTCGGGGGAGGCAAACCCGTGTGTAACAGCCAGGACACTGGTATTGTATAAATACATTTCCACTTGTCTATAAGCTCCTTTCTGGCCATGACTATGTCTTGTTTTTCTGTGAGTTCCAGATGTTCCTTGAATATTTGTTAAGTGAATAAATAAGTGAGTGAAAGAATGACTGAATGAGTTAAATGAATCCTAACCTTGCAGGAGACTAGCTGTATAACCTTGAATAAGACATTTAACTTGTATGGGCCTTGGTTTCCTAATCTGTAACACAAGGATATTAATACCGATCTCAAGGCAATACAGTTTATTTTGCCCAATGTTGACAGATCACTAAATTACGTTGAGTGGACTGCTCTGTTTAGAATACTTACTTTTAAGAGTGACGGCATCTAAAGGCATTCACACGCACTTTATTTTCTGCAGTCCTTTGACCTGCCTTCTTAGGAGACAAAAAGGTATTGAACTGAAGTCTGAGGACTGTAATGTTAAAATCCTGTTTCCGCTGCTCGACAGCTCTGTGCTCTCAGGCACTGTAAGTGCCTCCTTTGGAGAAAGATAGTAATGAGATTAGCCCGAGAGAGTTTCTGTGAAGATTAAATGGGGTGATCTTGCAGGAAGAACTTGGAAAGCTGTACAGACATGTTCCTGCTCCTGTCATGGTTTGGTCCTGTTCATTCAGGCTGGGTCTTGCTGCCTCTCATGCACCATCTTGATTGCTACCCTTTGATCTTCGTCTCAAGTTTCCATTCTTTCTCCAGTTCCCTTCCCCGCCCATCCCACCCTGACTCATCCTTCAAGACCAATTTATGGCTCCCCACTTCCATAGCCTTCGGACTACTTTAAGATGTAAGGATCTCTCCCATCTCACTCCCCATTGTATTTTTACTCAGTATCACACCTTCTCTCACTTGATTCCTCTGCTCCACATGTATTTTTTAAGCCTAGGTAAACTAAAATCTCTATGAGGATGTCACTTACACTTTGGCATTCACCATGGTAACGAGCAGGGTGCTAGATACATGCACTGTGCTCCTTAGAGGTTGTGTGCTAGATCAGGTGGCCGCTGCTTCTCCTTCTCATAGTATGTTTCCTTCCTTTCCCTACCTGTCCCCTTTCTACATATTCTTAAGAACTCTCATGGTTTTTCTTCTGCCACTTCTCTCGTTTTCTCTTTGCATAGAGCTGTACTTTCCTCAGTGCTCATTACGACACCTGCTTCTGCCGTGACTTGGATGTGTGTCAGTCAGTTGTGTATGTACCTGCCTCCCTGGAGGATGCAGATTGTAACTTGTGCATCTTTGTGCCCATCTTCTCACCCTGCAGAGCCTGGAATATATTACTCATAATTTTCCAATTTATTGAGAACCTACTTTGTGCCAGACACTGTGCAAAATAAATATGAGCTTACCGCTATGGAGACTATAGTCTGTGAGACTTGACACGGATCAAACACTTACAGAAAGGATATAAAACTGCCTGCTGCAAAGCAGAAGTGCTGGAGCTAGAAGAGGAAGTCAGAAGTATCAGGGTAGACTTCCCTGAAGAACTTTGGGAAAGGCACTCTCTGAATGTTTGATAAATTGTATGGAATTGAACAGTGGCTGCTCAATAAATACTCGTTGATTGGTTGATTGATTGTTGGCAAAGCCTTTGGAGATCCTGAGAAGAAAGAGCCTCAGGTCCCCATCATTCTTATTACATAATTATTTCCGTGCATTTAAAACTCTCCATTTTTCATTTTATACTTTAAACATCAGGGAAAACTGATGGGCCAACTTTATAATATTGTAAAATGACTCTATGGTGTTTTGGCTATGAGTTTATGTATATTTAATATACTTATTAAAATATGCAGTAAGCCCATGGCTGATTTTCTCTAAGGACATCTCAGTGCCGAGGTGGGACTTAAATGTTTAATACTAATAATAATACTCATAACTTATATTTCTCTAGTGCTTTCCATCTTCGGGATCCCTAAAGCCTGTGAGCACCACAGCAAACCGATGCAGCTGGGCTCACCAGCAGGCTGACAAGCACCACATCTGGTCACCTGCCTTATTTTGTGGGAAGAGAGGGTGACTCTGGCTTAAAGGTCTCACTCCTCCTCTGGCTTCCTCTGCCCGCAGAGAATTTTCTCCTCCCAGACAGATTCCCTTTGGCCGTCTCTGAAAGGCCCCCATTTATGTACAACTGCTGCTGCCAGCCATACATCACAGATACTCACTGTTTCAGGACAAGGAAGAAAAGTGACTTCATGCTCTTGGGATAGGAAAAGGCACATGTCATTTCTTTGTGGTCAAGGACAGGCCATCGGGCCTGAAGTTGGATGGCTGGAGAGGGGAACTACAAAGGGCAAGTCTCTGCTTGGTCTCTAAAGCCACACTCTGCCCCTTTCTTCTCTAGGTCACAGAGACCAGGACCGGTCCTCTGGGCTGCAGCAATTATGACAATCTGGACTCAGTCAGCTCTGTCCTGGTGCAGAGTCCAGAGAACAAAGTGCAGTTACTAGGTAAGCAGCACTGTGGTGACTTTCACATCCTCACACCTGGTGAAAAACCTGGATCACCAAAGAGCAGGAAGAAGTCCTGCCTGCCCCATTTGGTTCAACCTTTCTTAAGACAAGAACTACCGCAAGTTCTGGGACCTGTGTTTAACAACGTTCCATTGTTCACATGAGAAAACTTCTGATATGGTTTTCCCTCCACTCAAGACCCATTGCTCATAGCTTTTGACATCTAAATCCTCCCCATTCATATTCCTTCTCAGGACCTCTGTCACTATCATATAAGGAATGGCACATCCATCCTTATAGGCTTTGGCCTAGTTCAATGATCTCCTTTGTTGCCCCCTAAGCCCTCTGCTTTATCCTGAAGACACAGTGGGGAGTAGCTAGCCTTTGCAGAGTGGTTCTGGGGCCACCGTCTCCAGCTCAAGTCAGAGCTATACAGTAACATTGGTTACTGTAACTACAGCCTGAGAGTGGCCCCTGCTTTGTGTTATTAGTCTGTGATCTTCCCCAGAAGATTCAAAGCCAGGAGTAGAGATTGAGAGGACTAGAGACAGAACAAACAAAACTGGGAAAGAAAAAGGAAAGGGACCACACCAGGTTTGGAGGCTGAGAGATAAGCAGAGGCTCACCATCTCCTGCTTTCTGTTCCCCCAAGCACCCTAGGAGCAGTGCTATGCAAACTGATTCAATGGGAAAAGTTCATTTTTCTTAAGGTCTAACTGAATTCGACTCTGTTTAAGATATTATCATCTCAGCATTACAAAATCAATAGCCCTCACCCAGGAACTACGATTACAAATTCCAGGCAACCTGAGCCAGATGTGACCCAGCAATGCTTTAGGAATCAAGAAATATATAATAAAGAGGAGTAAAAGACTCCTTTATTTAGAGTTACCTAATGCAATTAGCACCTCTTCTCTTATGTTCCTGGATGGGCTGGGTTTGTGTCTGGAAATTAGCGATGAGTGAGGTTCAAAATGTCTGGTTGTTCATTTGGAATAGTTTATGCCATTTAATTTTATAGCCCATCACTCATGCAGACATTGCTCGGGGCACTTATTTTATAGCAGTGGGAAATGTTCCCGTGAGGAGGAGGGCGGTGCTGGAGAAGGGAAAGGACAGGAAGAAGAGATGAGTGTTGAGAGCAAGCATGTGGACAGGGTGTGGGGGGAGGACTGTGCAGGCACCACGGCAGGCACGGCATCTGGAAAGGAAAATTTAGGAGTAGATCATAATCGGAGGTAGATCTCAGGCAAGAACAATAAACATCTGGTGCTGCTGGCCATTCTAAGTTGTATTTTGAGGTCTGCCAAGACTGGGATATGCACTTTGGACTCTGATTTTCTGCTAAGGACAAGGTCAAGGGTGTTAAATTAAAGAGGTAGCAGACATTTGAGGAAAAGGGAACTCACCATATCCAGAAGTCCTCATATCCCTCACTCTCCTGGCACAAGGTCTCACAGAGTCCCTCGTGGGGGAGCATCCTGCAGGTCTGACATCAAAAACGGCCCGGGCTACATCCAAAGGCATGCCTATTGCTCTCCTTCATCCTTTGGTAAGCTCCAACAGCCACTTGTGTGTGGCTTGAAGCCAACTAGGAGTGTGTTGTGCTGCTGGTAAACTGATACCCACCACAGATGGGTGAGAAAACTTGGAGCAACTTAGTGTATTATATCCAAGATCAGAGGAAGCTAATTGGAAAAGAGAGCTGAGAGCCATTTATATTTATCCAGGCTTGTCTGATCTTGGGGCATTGACCACCATCCTTTCAAATCTCCTTAAGAGTTAAATCATGTTGACATGGGGGCATCCAGGCCCAGTAATGTAGTAGGACCTGATGGGACAAGGGTAGGGTCTGACACCAAGCAGACTCTATGAGTGTTGTGACTTAGATAGGTCACTGTGGTCTTTGGGCTTGGACTTCCTTACCTATGAGAAGCTCAATGTTACTTGCAATCATATATAGAAAATACTTGGCATTGCGCCTGCCACAATACCTGTCCCTACCTCATAACCAGGGTGGCCTCCTTGGTCATCAGGGTAGGGGTAGGAGGTCCAGTAGGGTCAGCATTCAGTAGTGTCCTAGGATGCCCACTACTAATCTTAGTTAGTCTAGAAACAGGATGGCTATCGGAGGCAGAGCAAAATGCCCATCAAGCCTCGATTCCTTCCCCATGAGGGCTGTAAGCTCTTCTTTTATCTGAAACATCTTCCTGTTTTTATTCAAAAAATGCTGATGTATAGCCAATAAGCCTGTTCTTATGATATGCACACTCTCAATTTGGCTGATGTGAAGGGTTCGGCTAAGCCTTGGGCTTTGATGTTCCTCTCTGCATTTTCAGATCCTCCCCCATCTGTCACTGGGGCAGCAGTAGCCTTCTCTCCCAACCAGCTCAGCAGGATCAGGCCCGTGGGTGGACATTTTTGGGCTCAGGACACATGAGTCAGCAGACCCCCTTCTGGGGCTCCTGCAGCCTTGAGTGTGGAAAACTGAGTCCCCACTGGTTCTGCCCAGAGATTCCTTGACACGTGCTTTCCCCAGGCCTGCAGGTGCTGCTGCCCGAGTACCTGCGGGAGCGCTTTGTGGCCGCAGCACTCAGCTACATCACATGCAGCTCAGAGGGCGAGCTGGTCTGCAGGGAGAATGACTGCTGGTGCAAGTGCAGCCCCACCTTCCCGGAATGCAACTGCCCTGACGCCGATGTCCAGGCCATGGAGGACAGCCTTCTACAGATCCAGGACTCCTGGGCCACTCACAACCGGCAGTTCGAGGAGTCAGGTGAGCAACCAGCTGGCCTGGAAGTCCTCCCTGTCAGTGAGAGGTGGCTGCAAGATACAGGGTAAGAACAGGGGGAACTCAGTTTGGATCCTGGCTTGGCCACTTACTGTCTCTGTGACCTCAAGCTGGTTATATCACCACAACAAGTCTCAAGTGGTTTTGATTTCCTATATATAAATGAGCATAATACCTACATAAGAGGTATGCTTTAAGGACTCAGTAAGATAGATAAATATAATTGGTGGCATGGGCCTTGTCTGTCTTGTTTGCTGTTGATTCCACAGTGCCTAGAACAATGCTTGCATGTAAAGTCACAGTAAATATTTGTTGAATAAATGGAGTGTGTAGCATAGTCCTAGGTGGCTCCCAGTACAAGCTAGTCATTGTTTGTTGCTGTTGTAACTAATATCAAAGGTACCTACAGGGCTAGATTCAGAGGAACTGGTTTTGCATCCTTGCCCTATTACTGACCAGCTTTATGACCTTGTATTAACCATGCAGCTTCTCAATGCCTCAGTTTCCTCATCTGTAAAAGAGGTGAAGTGATAATAATAGGTGGATGGAAGGCGCACATGAGATATTGTAGGTGAAATTAATTTATAGAGAACTCTGCATGGTATAGTCACACATTCCAATACTAAATGAATAATAGCTATATGGAAATATTTCCAAAACATAATTTTGGATAAAACAAAGCAAGATGAAAAAGTTACATGTTGTATACACATTTATATAATGTTTATATATAATGCTATAATATAATAATAATTTAGTAAATACAATATATATTTAATACTATTTATATGATGTTTACAAACATGCTAGCCAATACACAATATTTTTTATGAATAAATATATTTGTACAAAATTTTAAAAAATGTGATAATGATAAAGAAAACATCTAAGAGATTAGTTACATCTGGATGGAGAGAGAGGGGAGGTTTAGGGCCTCCAAGTATTTCAGTTGGCCTTATTTCTTAAAAAAAAAAAAAAAAAAAAAAAAAAAAAAAAAAAAAAAAAAAAAAAAAAAAAAAAAAAAAAAAAAAAAAAAAAAAAAAAAAAAAAAAAAAAAAAAAAAAAAAAAAGTGAAGCCAAAATGGCAAAAGCTAGGTGGCAGCAACATGGGAGTTTATGCTCTTCTGTATGCTTAAATGTTTTATGAAAAGAACTATGCACATGTTAGCTGTTAGTGCCATTGCTAAGGCATGATTCTCCAACCTTCTGAGGGGATGTGGACCTAGGTATATGAGAAATCAGAATGAGTTGAGATCACCATTCCAAGTCCTAAAGGCATTCAGTAGCTAAGGACAACATCACCCTGCAGTCCCCAGCCACATGCTTTGGGCTCATGGTGGTGGGATATATTCCATAACATGGCTTCAGGCTCTCATCACTATGAGTTACTGCTAATAAGTAAATGAGGCTGTATAGACCTCCAGTGGGAGATCTGGTAGCTGCAGGTCCCAAGTAAAAGCAGAGCAGAGGACAGAGACTGAGCATGATTTCAGAAAACACTGTGTGCCCAGGAAGCTCCTAGGAGAACTCAGGCTTCGAGCTTAGAACCAGCAGGTATGCTGCTTCTAGACTCACTGCAGCAAAGAATGGGTATCTAGCCAGAAGTTGAAGCTAAAAAGAGAAGAAGAGTACTGTAGAGTCAAGAGAGAGAAGGGTGTGGTGGGGAGAGGCTCATCTCTGGCCTGAAGGTTTCTATGAAGATTTCTGAGCTGGGTAATGCACCTTCTGTGTCAATATTTGCCCATTTGTGTGCACGCTCACCTTCGTCAGAGCCTCACACCTTCCATGAGGGTGTCATGGTACCACTGAAGAAGATTATCCTGAGACAGTGTCATGGATGACTTATAAGGAGGTTATATTAGTCCGTTTCTGTTGCTTATAACAAAATACTCGTAACTGGGTGGTTTATAAAGAAAGCAAAATTTATTACTTACAGTTTATGAGCCTGGGAAGTCCAAAGTCCATCTGGTGGTGGTGACAGTGACCCAGGGGTCTCACATTGCAAGATGGTGGAAGCAGAGAGAGCAGAGAGAGAGAGAGAGAGACTCTACTCTTCTTTCAAAGCCCTCAAAACCATGCCCCTTAAACCATTTTTAACTCATTCACTACTGCACAGTCTTGCAATCCAATCCCCTCTTCAATTACTGTAATAGAATTCCCAACCTCTTAATAGTCACAGTGGGGGCTAAGTTTCTAATACATAAAATTTGGGGGACACAATTCAAGCTTCAGTGAGTTTTGGAGAGAGATAATTTAATCCACTACAAAGGTATAAAGGGGGAAAGAGATGCATCCCAAGGTCATTGGCAAAAAAGAGGACTGCTGGCCTCTTGGGTGTGACAGATCTGTTTTGAAATTCAGAGCCTATTAGGGGAAGGAAGGATAGGAAAAAATCCTGAAGCCATTTGTTATGGTATGTTAATTATATCTCAGTGCAGCTGATTTTTTTTTTTTTTTTTTTTTTTTTTTTTTTTTTTTTTCCGTGTTTGGCAACGGATCCCAACCCCCAGTGTTGCTCCCGTACCGGACCGGGGACCGGCAACGGGATCACAAGCCTCGGTGTTGCTCCCGCGCCTTGCTCAGCCAGTGAGCGGGAACCGGTCTGTACGTGGGATCCGAACCCTCGGACGGGAGCGCCACCGCGCTTCCCAAGCGGCGCACTATCCAGTGCGCCACCGGGCCGGCCCAAGTGCAGCTGTTTTTAAAAGAACCTGGGAGAGGGGATGTGAAACCTCCTCTATCACGCAGTGACTGAAGGGCCCTGCGTCTGGGGAGCGGCCACCTGTCGCTTGCAGGGCTCTGCATAGCCCCTCAGCTCAGCCCTTCTTCTGTGTTCTTGCCCACAGAAGAGTTCCAGGCCCTGCTAAAAAGGCTGCCCGATGACCGGTTCCTGAACTCCACAGCCATCTCCCAGTTCTGGATCATGGACTCCAGCCTCCAGCACCGCTACCAGCAGCTGGGAGCCAGCCTGAATGTGCTGTTCAAGAAGACCCATCGGATCGTCCGCCGCCTCTTCAACCTGTGCAAGCGCTGCCAGCGGCAGCCTCGCTTCCGCCTGCCCAAGGAGAGGTGAGCACCCGCGCCAGAGCCAAGCTCAGCACCCCACAGCTGCTGAGCCAAGGAGGACCCTCTGTCCATCACAAAAGACCTGGGAATAGGGACCCACACGTGGCTTTGATTCCATTACTTGACCTCCTCACGCATCATTCTCAATTGTGAGTTGTGTCTGAAGTGAGAAAGAAAAAAAGAAGAGAGGCTGATTTTCCTCTTATCTCAATAGTAGATTCAAATGCTATTCTAAAATACTCCAATTCTCACTTCCTTATTTCCATTTTAATAAGTCTTTTAGGAAAAACACAGGTGGAGTTAAAGCTCATGCACCAATTGCACATGATGAGAAATACACACATTGGATTGTTTCAAGCAAGTGACTCTGCTCTGAGTCACAGGAGGAAAGAAAGCTGAGACCCTGTGCCCTTGGGGACGGAGAGGGACTGTATCATCACAGGCATTCATCATTCATCCACTCATCCACTTGTTTACTCCACAATTTTTAAGTCCATATTGCATGCCCTTTTATTAAGCTATAGGGGATATTTGTGAATTGGAAAGGTTTAAGAAACATACAGAAACATAAAAACTAGAAAATTATAACTATGCAATGGCCACTTAAATTCATGGTGGTAGAAAAATCAAAGAATCTGGAGGCCAAGGCTGGAGAGGAACGCCTCCTTGGAAAAGGAAGTCTTGGCCAGATTGTGCAGGAAGAGATGGAAATGGTCTGGTACACACAGTATTCCTGGCCAGGGGAGCTGCCTTCACAGCAACCCAGAGGTGTGGTTCTAACTGAGGCACAGGTAAGAAGGAAAGCATTAGTGGAGAAAACAGTTTGAACAAGGGTTTTTGAGAGGTTTTTTATTTTATTTTATTTTTTTCAACAAATAATTATTAAATGCCTATCCGGCACCAGAAACAATCCTCATTTCTGAGTATATGTTGGTCAATAATACAGTGTCCCTGCTCTCATGACATTCACAGCAAAGCATCCTATAAAAGGAAACAATAATTTTAGATACTGACAATTACAGTGGATTAAATAAAAACAGGTTGATGTGATAGAGTGACTGGACTGACTCTTTTGAAAGGGACATCAGGAAAGGCCTCTTTCAGGAGGTAACATGAAAGCTGAAATCAAACTTCAAGGACAGTCAGCCATAGGAAATTCCTACTTGTTGTAGACGAGGGATAGAATTAGAGGAAATAGAAAGGACAGAGACCTTGAAGTGGGAGTGAAACTGGCAAGAAGTCGGAATCTTATTTAGAAGACTGAAAACCTAGGTTTGGTACAGAAGATGCTAAAGATCCTATCTAGGCTTTTGAATAAGGGGACAAGGTAGTACTTGGGAGAGATGAGCCTGGCTGCTGCCAGCACAAGCTTGATGGCAAATATTTCTGGGGCTGAATGATCAGATGCAGAGCTCCAGGCTTTACTCAATCAGTTCAAAGTGGAGCAGCAGGGTTTCCGTCATTCAGAGAACATGGGGTTTTTATCTTCCTCAATTCATTTCCCACCCATTAGTCAATATCCTGCTACCCTCAGGGAGGATGGCAGTATGTGGCCTCCTTTGACTCTTGCTTCATTTTTATCTCCCCTCCCCAAGGTCCTTGTCCTACTGGTGGAACCGAATCCAGTCCCTCCTCTACTGTGGAGAAAGCACCTTCCCTGGCACCTTCCTGGAACAGAGCCACAGCTGCACCTGCCCCTATGACCAATCTTCCTGCCAGGGCCCCATCCCATGTGCCTTGGGCGAAGGGCCTGCATGTGCCTACTGTGCTCAGGACAACAGCACGCGATGTGGGAGCTGCAACCCGGGCTACGTGCTGGCCCAGGGGCTATGCCGGCCGGAGGTGGCCGAATCCCTGGAGAACTTTCTCGGGTTGGAGACAGACCTGCAGGACCTAGAGCTGAAGTACCTGCTGCAGAAGCGGGATGGCCGCATCGAGGTACACTCCATTTTCATCAGCAACGACATGCGTCTGGGCAGCTGGTTTGACCCTTCCTGGAGGAAGCGCATGCTGCTTACCCTGAAGAGCAACAAGTACAAGCCGGGGCTGGTGCACGTGATGTTGGCCTTGTCCTTGCAGATCTGCCTCACCAAGAACAGCACCCTGGAGCCTGTCATGGCCATCTACGTCAACCCTTTTGGGGGCAGCCACTCTGAGAGCTGGTTCATGCCCGTGAATGAGGGTGACTTCCCTGACTGGGAAAGGACTAACGTGGATGCAGCTGCCCAGTGCCAAAACTGGACTATCACCTTGGGGAACAGGTGGAAGACCTTCTTTGAGACAGTCCATGTTTACCTACGGAGCCGAATCAAGTCCCTGGATGACAGCTCCAATGAGACAATCTACTACGAGCCCCTGGAGATGACTGACCCCTCCAAGAATTTGGGCTACATGAAAATCAACACTTTGCAGGTCTTTGGCTACAGCCTGCCCTTTGACCCAGATGCTATCCGGGACTTAATTCTCCAGTTGGACTACCCGTATACTCAAGGTTCCCAGGACTCCGCCCTCTTGCAGCTCATCGAGCTTAGGGACCGGGTGAACCAGCTTTCTCCACCTGGCAAAGTCCGGCTTGACCTTTTCTCCTGCTTGCTTCGGCATCGGCTCAAGCTGGCCAACAACGAGGTGGGCAGGATCCAGTCCTCCCTGAGGGCTTTCAATTCTAAACTGCCAAACCCCGTGGAGTATGAGACAGGCAAACTGTGTAGCTAATGGGGTCCTACTCCAGCACTGGCCAGGGAGGGGATCCCCAAATCCAGGGTGCAAAGATAATCCAAGGCCTCACCTCAGTGCCAACAGGGTGCTCCCATGAGACTTTCAGCACCCAGCAGATGGGACCTCGAGGCTTGGACTGGAGCAGGCAGGAGAGAGAGAAAGAGCCACTGCACACAGGCACACACACGTACACACACACACACACACTCACACGGGGAGGCTACAACCAGCAGCCTTGGATCTGTGAAGTTGGTGCTTTCCAAAATGAATGCAGTTGTAGGAGAGGAGCCCAGGAAGAGATTAAGAAAAAGAACCAGCTGAACCATGAAACGGACCAACGAAAATCGTTAAAAAGTGATTCTTGTCATTCAAGAAAGCAAGAGGGGACAAAGAGGGGAGGGGTGGGAGCTCTTCCTCCCCCTCTGTGGAGGCACTTTTGTATTCTTTTTAACCAGATTTCTTAAAATGTTGTTTCGTGAATCCCTACATCAGTTCTTACTTTTTGTAAGCTGCCTCCCCGTGCCCTCCCACAAGCTGACTGCTCCCCTAGGAAACTTGGCAAGAGCCAGCGACAGGAGCAAACTCTGCAGGCGGCATCCCTGCTCCCTCCCCGCCTCTCCTGCTCTCCAACCCCACGTTTCCTTCCTTGGCCTCCCCAGCTTCAGGGCTCTGGCTCCTCCCACGTTCCCCTCGTGCTCCATCCAGACCCCTCCTTCCGACGACAGCGCTCCTTCTGTCCCAGAAAGCAGCTCTGTTGAGTTAGAGACATTGTATAGGGAAATGTTCTTTTTCTAAAACAAAACAAAACAAAAATATTTATTTTGTGATTGTTTTCCTTGTCAATCTGCTCCAGTCACATGAACATCTGAGTAAAAATTTACCTGGTTTAATATATTTTTTTAAAGGCGTTTTTTAGGGGGGGAAATGAGAGAGAAAAGAGGAAAAAAAAGTATCATTCCCTAGGCTGCCTGGATTTTTGTTTAATTGCTGTTCGTGTGACACAGGGGTGTCTGTGGATGGGGGATGTTGCTGTGGGGGAGGCTGAGTGATCCGTGTGTGCACACGTGAATGCACACCTGTGTTGACTGGAGTGTGAGGGGGTGTTTGTGTTGGGGCGTGTGTGAGAGAGAGACTCAGTGAGCAGTGAGATGAAATCTCCCAGAGAGCCCACCACACCCTCACCCTCTTTTCTCCAGGCGTGGCTACAAGCAGGATTTCCCACTGTCAAGAGTGGTTTGCAAGTTCTCGCTCACAAGGGGAACTGCAGCCTTTGAGCTCGAGCAAGCACCTGCTCCACAGGGCTCTTCTTTGCCTGAGCTGCTGTGGACATGAGGAGACTTCATACTCTGCATCTTAGGGTGTGGGATCATACTTTGAGGAAATTGGGAAAGATGCAGACGCGACCTTGTTTACCTCCTCCATGCTGTCTGATTGCCACTTTCCCAACCTAAAAAGCAGCTTTGACATATACCACACGGAACAATGCATCTTTCTCTCCTTCGTGCCTCCCGCAGGTGGTACAAGAATCACTTCACTGCGGATCTTTTGAAGAACCACTTCTCTGTCTACACTACACGTTTTCCAAGTACAATGTGTAGGCACGACAACCCCATTTTATTCAGGAGAAAGTCATCACAGAAACACTAAGTATCTCATTCCCTACCTGTGGTACCTGTCAGTTGGCATGAAATAAAAATGGGAGACATCAAGAAAATATTCATGTCTATCTGCCCAGGAGCCTTCTGTTTATTGTTGCCTAGAGAAGTGTCTGCATTCTATGTAATCATGGCATCGTCTTTCAACCTACAAGGACCTGAAATCCTGGGTAGATAAGCAGCCTGAAGCATGTGTTTCTTCCCAGTCCCCTGCAGGCTTCTAGGATAGAAATACAGTGATGGGATGATCTAAAGGTGAGTTCAGATATTAGCTGTTTATTTCTAGTTCAAGTCACTGCTCGCTTTGGGGAGCATGTCTCAAGCTCCTTGCCTGTGGGAGATGGAACCAGCAGATGAAATCTTCAGCAGTGGGAGTGTTGAGATGTACCAGAGGAGGGTGCTTTTGGTGGAAAGGGAGTTGCAAATGGTGGCAGGGCTTTGAATCCTCGCAGTGATGGGGTTTGAGAGGTGTAAGGCAGATACTAGAGTCGGATTTTAGCACTCCAAATGTGCATGTCTACATGCTCTAGGAGTGGGTGGACAGGGACTCTCACTAATGGATTAAAGGCACACCTTTAAGGTAGCAAATTGTCAACTGCCATGCACAGTCATATTCCGAGTGTGGGGAAGACAGTAACTGAGAATGTCTCGTGTACAGTCAGAGTTAGCAGTGAGGATCCTCAATAGCGTGACTGTGATTGCCCCAGTGGGAACTGTCACTACGGGAGAGCTCACGTCCCAGCTGGGCCAGTCCTACAGTCGTGCTGACGGGTGGGAAACCTTAGCCATCTGTCTCTGAATCAGAGACCACAATGGGGGAAGCACATAGATGCGACCTTGTTTATTAGTAAGGATGCTGCATCTCCTCGTATCAGGGATAAGAGCTATCTAAGGAGAACTACAGAACAATGGTGTGATATATTATGATATTAGGAATATATACATCCAGTTACAGAGGTTCCCATTTCTTGCCTGCTTGAAGGTTTAAACCATGAACCTGACTGTATAAACTCCATCTGAAAGTGCTGCTACACATTGGTAATCATATAGGTGTGCCCTTTGGATCCCAGATGCAAGTACCATATTGATACAAGGCCTGAAAACATTATTAATTACAAGAGTAGAAATGTTTATATTTGACCTACTCATCTGTTATCTGTGACAGATATCTGGCTCATTTCTTCAGGGACACTGATGGAGTGCTTGGTGAAGAAGAGCTGGGGTCAGAGCAGCAGACCAAGGACTTTGCTTCTAGAACACAGGTGGAAGAAGAAGGGGAGTACGGATGAGCAGGATCCCTTAAAAGGCTCTTTAAGGTTCGAAATCATGAGTTCAGCATAGTTTCTCAGAAAGCTAGGCTGAGAAATGCCATGATAAGAAAACATGGTCCCCAGCTGAAACTGTTGCCTTTAAAGTCTATAATAATCAAAAGATGTGTACCACCTATTCATTGACACAGTTACAAATAAAGAATTGTTATTAATTAGTACTGGATTGTCAATGTTGGTGAACTCATTGTGGAATTAAGAGCCGAATCACAATTCACTTCCAACCATGCATTAGATAATAACAATCGGGAACTCAAGTCTTAATTGTAACACCAAAGAACTAATACATCAAATGCTAATCTGCCCTAATGCTTGAGACTAATACCTTTAATACTAAATAACATATTTAATACTGGCTGCTAATAATATAATGCTATGCTTTGCAAGCATACTCATGCATCCACAGCCAAAATCATAAATGAGAATCACTTCCAATACTGGTTATCACAAATAGTTCAGATCCCAGTTCTTGGTTTCTTTTCAAAAATATGAAAATAGTGGTAATGATGGCAGAACTTCCTTGTGGGTAGATGGAATATGCTGCCAACATGGTGTCCTGCCCAAAGTATGACCTCCAAAGTCTGTCATTTCATCGGGTATGTCTGTTCCCTTGCATTTCAGAGAGGTCTTTCTTTGCCATTATATTCTGCATGAAAACTAAAATACCCTTAGGAAGAAATAAATCGTATAAGTTAAACCAATGGCAAAAGTGGAGAATTAGATTTTGGGAGTTGGAAGGTTTTTAGAGGTCATCCAGTCTAATCTACTCATCTCTGAAATGAGGAAAAAGAGGTTAAAAGACTTGAGAGGCTGAAGAAATGGTCCAACATTGTTTCTATAAGCAGAGCTAGAAATTGCAGTCTCATCAGGTTCCTTCTCTACTCCTCTTTGCCAGTAAATGACATCTGAGTTCTGAGGGATGACAGTGACCCAGTTCAGGACTTGAGAGTGTGGAATGGAGGAAGGAAGAGAATTTTCCGGGAAGGAGAAGCCTACTAAGAGTTGGGAGTGTGGCCACATCTTTCCCTGTGATTGGCTCTAGGAAACACAATCAGCTACTAAGATAAGTGAAAGAGAAAGATGGAAGTTTCTCCCCTGAGAAGCTTTAAGCAGAGCAGACATTTACATCGAGGCTGGAGATGGAGTATTCAACTTGCTGGTTTCCTGATGACCCTATCAGCTCAATATTTTTTGATTGCAACATCCTGCCTCCAATTTCTTGGTATTTTCTATAAACCACCAACCAGAAAATTTAAATATCATTACAAATCTGATACTTTCTGCAAAACACCTTCCTTGTGAAGGCTAGAGGTACCAGCAGCATCCAAAGGCCTTGGGCTGTGTAGTCACTGTGCTATTTAGGACCACGGCCAAGAGGAATAATGAGGTGTGGTGCTCTGCTGGATGCTAAAAGTCCTTGCTCCTTCCAGCAGCAGAGCACAGAGAATAAGAACCAGGGGGTCACCTCACCCAAACACAAGACTGTGGCCTGCACCCCTTGCATGCCTTCTTTCTCTCCAGAACATACATCAGGCATGTTAAGGAGGAGGATATGTTGGAAACTTTTGGTAGTCTGATGGCACTAGACACACACATTTTTTCTCATTCTGGTTCTGCCACCAGCCAGCAATGTAACTCTGGGCAAGTCTCTCCACTTCTCTGGGTCCCAATTTGCTCTCCTATGAAAGAGGGAGTTGGATTTCCTACCTAGGTACTGAGGGTCCTTCTAACATTATCCTTTCATGGTGTTAAAAGCAGTGTGGCACAGGAGACTGCGTAGACCATAAAATTAGGCAGACCTGGATTTGCATGTTGGATCTATACGTACAATTTAAGTGACCTTAATTCTTGATTTGTCCCTTTATCCATAACCCAACTTCTTCATCCCTACCTCCCTAAAATTTTTCTTTCCTTTCTCTTTTTGAACATTCACCTCTCTGTATACTTTTGCTCTGTACTCTCCAACTTCCAGAATACCTGTATCTCTTCAGTTCCATAAAACTCAAATCTCCCTCCCTCGTTTAAATGCTAGGCATGAGCCTAGGTGCATGACATTCAAAACTCTATGAAACATGTTTCTGGACCCTGAAGAACTGTAAAATATGATGGGAGGTGGGGAGGGGGAACATGAACAAATTGGAGTGGTGCCTTCTCTAGTAGAGATGTACAAAGCATTGATGGAGCACAGAAAGAGAACAAATCACTTCCTGGGAGAAACTCTGATGACATGTGCTCCAAACCTTCTAGTAACTATGGGAGCAATGCCCCAGGTCTCCAGATGTTTTACATCTGAGTAGGGGGAAAGACCTAACATAAAATGTGTGCATCCCTTTTCAGACAGCAGAGAAAAACAATGACAGCTACAGAGCCCTCTTGAAGGCACGTGCTCTGTCTGCTTGGTGCCTGTATTTCTGACTCCCAAGCACCATGTCAGCACCTTGTTATTCAGGATGTCCATGGGAGATCTTTTTGGGAAATGAGATACCCCCATGCCTCGGGGGTGCAGTGTTGTAAAACCAGTGCTTTCCTGACTTTCATTCACCTGCAGATTCTGATTCACTAGGTCTGTGGTGGGCCCCATATTTTGCATTTCTAACAAGCTCCCAAGCGATGCTGACGTTGCTAGTCCATAGACCACACTTTAAGGCACAAGCTCTTAGAGAGTATAACTATTATCTTCCTGCTGTACTTAAGACTCTGAAACAGGAGCCTCCCAGGAACTGCAGAGCCTAAGAAACCAAAGGGTCTATCATGTCTGGCTCCGAGGTGGGAAACTCACTTATGAAAATCTTGGTGCTCCACTCACCTTGAATTTCTCAACAAATTAGAAGCCAAATGTCTGACCTATATATGTCAATGGGGTAAGTAAAGGGAGGCAAGGGAAAAGAAAGCAGACAATGAAATAAAAGTTCTGAGGGCTCTAAGCTGGCTTGCTTGTGAGTGTGTTTACAGCTAAGAAGCTCCATGGACTGGCTGAATCGTGCTGACTGAGGAAAGGTCTTTTCCCCCAAGCCTATCAGAGCGAATCTGTTCAGAAGTGGGACAGGGCATACCTGTCACTCCACAGAAACATACATCAGATGAGATGATTAAATCTACACCAGCAACATGCAAGTACCCAGAGGTCCCAGACTTTAGACTACAGAAGTGCCATGCACCCCGTAGACACCTCATCTAAGACATGAAATGAATTATTTTTGTTTTCAGTTCTGTCCTTCTCTCCTTCAACCTGTGCAATTATCACCCTTGCATCACGAATAAAAACAACTGCCAGAATTTCTATAGGGTCATTCTTCCAAGAATCTCAGAACTTGGAAGAATGAATCAATCAAAATTATTTATTGAGCATTTGCAGCTAGCAGCTGTGGGAAATAAAACAAATATAGATTTAGTATGCAGATTTTAATTCGAAGGGTTTGGAGATGACTTAGAAAATGGAACTTGCAGGGGAAGCTCTGCAGCTAAGTGAAAGCAGAAGCTGGAGTTAGTGTGCTTTCTGGAGTCAGGCTGTCTTGGTTCAATCTCATCTCTGTCGCTTACGAGATATGAGGAGCTAGGTGTGTCATTTAATCTTTCAGCCTAAGTGTACACATCTGTAAAAGAAGGGCTATAACAGTGTGTATCTCATAGGGTGTGGTGATGGTCAGATAAAATACAGGCTCATAGTACATTCTCAGTGAGTGTGGGTTGTTTGTATTGTGTTAGATAGTTTCTACATTTGAGGAAAAGGGAAGGGTAGGGAAGAAAAGGAAATACTCATGTTACTTACCTGTAGAAGCAAACTTCCTCCTGGAACAAAGAGGAGTTTATCATCTGGGACCTTACACAAGGGTCGCTGGGTAATACAATGGAAAAGGCGTTCAAATACAGTTTGTGAAAGACACAGATAAGCCATTCAAATAGGTATTTCTTATACAGACCTTCTATAAAAGCAGAGAATATAATATTACAACATAATTCATTACTGAAATGCCTGTGCCTAGCTAGGTCATGTAGCCCCGGAACATTGTTCTGATGATGTAACTTATTACATTGATAGAGCTTGGAGTATCTAAGAGAATGGCTAGTTAACATGCCCATTAGACTGTCTCTTTCAAATAGCCCATCTTACGTGCACTCTTAGCAAGTACCAGTTCGCAATCAAGTGCTGGTTGAATTCTTTGATGGGGAACCAGAGTGCAGTATTGCCATAAGGCTTTTAGTACAGACATGAGAGAGGCCGAGTTTATGTTCCAGTTATATTAGAAGTATAAGGCATAGATAGGTAGAAAGGTTAGGAAAATATTCTAAGCAGAGGGAGAAGCATATGTCTACACACATATTCATAGACCCAATGGTAATTCAACTTAATGTTCATTTTCCATACCCAGCCTCCTGGACCAGTGCCCTTCATGTTACTCTTCTTTCTAAAATAAGTTTTATTGACTTAAAGTGTATGATTCAATAGCTTTTTAATTATAAAGTTGTGCATAGATCTAATTCCAGAACATTTACATCACCCAAGAAAGACGCCCTGTACCCCTTAGCAATCACTGCCCATTTCTCTCCAACTCCCAACCTCTGGCAAACTCTAATCTGTTTTCTGTCTCTATGGATTTGCCTATGCTGAACATTTTGTATAAATGGGATCATATAATACGTGGCCTTTTGTGTCTGGTTTTTTCACTTAGCATAATGTTTTCAAGATTCATCCACATAGGAGTATGTATCAGAATCTCATTCCATTTTACGGCTGAATAATGTTCCATTAAATGTATAGAGCACATCTTTATTCGTTCATCAAATTATGGATATTTGGTTGTTTCTGCCTTTTGCCTATTATAAATAATGCTGCTATGAACATTTGTGCACGTGCATTTGTGTGGATGTATGTTTTCAGTTCTCTTGGGTATATACCTAAAATGGAACTGCTGGGTACCATGGTAACTCTATGTTTAACGTTTCGAGGAACCATTAGCCTGTTTTCCAAAGCAGCTGAACCATATTACATTCCCACCAGTACATCCTTTTCAACATATGTTATTATCTATCTTTTGATTATAGCCATCCTAGTGAGCATGAAGCGATATCCCATTGTGACTTTTGTTTGTATTTCCTTAACAATAAACAATGTTGAGCATTTTTTCATATGCTCATTGGCCATTTGTATAACTTCTTTGGA